CATGGACCATCAATTCCAGACTCTGTCAAGGAAGTGCAGTGGGGAATCGAACTCCCAAGCTTTGGCTCCACAGTCAGACAACTAAACAACTGAGCTATCCAGCAGTTCCATATATGCAAACACCACCAACAACAATAACAACAACAACAAAAGGAAATTTGCTGAATTCTATCTTGAATCCATTTAAACACTGCACCCACGCATATATGTACAAAGCACTATGCAGATTTTGCCTACGTTTGGTCTGTGTTACCAATTTAATTCTCATGTGTCAGTGTGCAAAGTAACTGAACTGTGCAGAACTGCATTTTTGGACTACTATGCCCAGGTTGCCCCAGCTTGTTAGGTACACATAATGAAGAATCCCATGTGGCCTGAAATGGAGGTGCAGAGGCAGAACTCACCTCCTCCCAAATTTCCTGAAATGATATCTCTGAGATTGCAACACAGAGATAGAGACTTGCCTAATATGCCATACAATAAATTCACTGAAGTAAAGAAGTAAAAATAATGTGAAGCAAGTGGATAGAGGAGATTTTCCTTCTGTTCCTCCCTTCTTCCTTTCCTCCATCTCCCATAATATTAGAACTTGTGGTTACTCAGAGAGGGAGTGGATTCCAGAACAGACAAACGGAAGTATGTCACCCACAACACATAATTAATTTATGGAAATTGCTGCCAGGAGATGAGTAGCCACGTAGCTAGATTTAAAAGAGGATTATCTGGTCCATTCATGGAAGATGGGTCTATGTAGGGATATCTGTATTCAGAGGCAGTATGTCAACAAATGCCAATTACTGGGAGACAGTAGTGGGGTATGGAGAGAGGAGGGATGTTGCCTGATGGTCTGGTTGTCAGTTTCCCAGGGACATCTCGTTAGGCCCTGTGGAAAACAGGATACTGTATACTGACCCAGGTTTAAACAACAATAATGCCACCAACTAGGTCTGGTCCATCAGATTTTGTAAAATCTTGAGATTCTAATCTGACCAAAACAGAGAAATATTCCCCCACCCCTTTTTGTACTACTCTTCCCATGATCTTTTTATGCTGACTGAGAGGTTTCTGGGAGCTGTTGTCCAAAAAAAAAAAATAAAAAAAAAATCATATTTCCCAGCTCTGTTGAGATCATGCTTCCCCAACCCAAACCCAACCCCCATCCTGGCAGTATGTGCAGGCTAATGTTAACCAACTAAGCCAGGGTCCAGTATATGAATGGAGGTGATTTGAATGAAGTGCTAGTGTATAATTGGAAAAAGAACCTGTCTGGGACTCTTCACTCATCTGTTATCAAAATATTTTTACTGATTGATTTATACACTGCACAGGTAATCCAGATTGCCTCCTGTGAGTTAAAAGTGCCATGTGTGGCTCTCCTGTAGCCCTGTAGCCTCCCAATAACCCTGTGACATAGATCAGGCTGAAAATGGAAAGGAATGGTAAGCTCATTGAATTCAATTGGTTAGATCTTGTCTAGGTCAAACTGAGTATGGTTACTGATATCGGTGGGGCATAAGCAAT